CTACACCCATCCTATTGACCCTACACCCATCCCATTGACCCTACAACCATCCTATTGACCCTACACCCATCCCATTGACCCTACAACCATCCTATTGACCTTACACCCATCCTATTGACCCTACAACCCTCCTGCTGACCCTACACCCATCCTATTGACCCTACACCCATCCCATTGACCCTACAACCCTCCTGCTGACCCTACACCCATCCTATTGACCCTACACCCATCCCATTGACCCTACAACCCTCCTGCTGACCCTACACCCATCCTATTGACCCTACACCCATCCCATTGACCCTACAACCATCCTATTGACCCTACAACCCTCCCATTGACCCTACACCCCTCCTGCAGACCCCACAATCGTTTTTTTTGGGGGGTCAATCCCATAACCGCCCCAAACACACGCAGATGCGGCGCCTGATCACGCGGGGGGAGTGGCAGTCGGAGCAGCAGGACACCATGAAAACCGGATCCTCCACCAACAACAACGAGGAGGAGAAATCCCGGCTCCTGGAGAAGGAGAACCGGGAGCTGGAGAAGATCATCGCCGAGGTCTGGGGGTCCCAAATTGGGGGGTTGGGGGGAGCCTAAATTGGATTGGGACCCCAAATCGGGTTGGGACCCTGTGGTCCCAAATTGGGGGGTTGTGGGACACTAAATAGGGGGATGGGGGGTTTGGGGGGAGCCTAAACTGGATTAGGACCCCAAATAGGGTTGGGACCCGAAATGCGGTTTGGGAGATCCTAAACTGAGACCCCAAATGGGGGTTGGGGGGAGCCTAAATTGGATTGGGACCCTAAATAGGGTTGGGACCGTGTGGTCCCAAACTGGGGGGTTGTGGGACACTAAATAGGGGTTTGGGGGGTTTGAGGGAGCCTAAATTGGATTGGGACCCCAAATAGGTTTCGGACCCAAAATGGGGGTTGGGAGATCCTAAACTGAGACCCCAAATGGGGGTTGGGGGGAACCTAAATTGGATTGGGACCCCAAATAGGATTGGGACCCCAAATAGGGTTGGGACCCTAAAGGTGGTTCGGGAGATCCTAAACTGAGACCCCAAATGGGGGTTGGGGGGAGCCTAAATTGGATTGGGACCCTAAATAGGATTGGGACCCCAAATAGGGTCAGGACCCTTTGGTCCCAAATTGGGGGGTTGTGGGACACTAAATAGGGGTTTGGGGGGAGCCTAAATTGGATTGGGACCCCAAATAGGGTCAGGACCCGAAATGCGGTTTGGGAGATCCTAAACTGAGACCCCAAATGGGAGTTGGGGGGAGCCTAAATTGGATTGGGACCCCAAATAGGGTTGGGACCCTGTGGTCCCAAATTGGGGTTGTGGGACACTAAATAGGGGGTTGGGGGGAGCCTAAATTGGATTGGGACCCCAAATAGGGTTGGGACCCGAAATGCGGTTTGGGAGATCCTAAACTGAGACCCCAAATGGGGGTTGGGGGGAGCCTAAATTGGATTGGGACCCCAAATAGGCGGGTTGGGGGGTTTGGGGGGAGCCTAAAT